CGCCCTCACCGCCGCCGCCGTCGTCGCCGCCGTCGTCACCGCCGCTGCCGCCGCCGCCGTCAGCGCCGTCTTCGCCGCCGCCGTCGCCGCCGTCGTCGTCACCGCCGCTGCCGCCGGAGTCGTCACAGCAGCTGCCGCCGTCGCCCTCGCCGCCGTCGACGCCGCCGTCGTCGCCGCCGTCGTCACCGCCGCTGCCGCCGCCGTCGTCACCGCCGCTGCCGCCGCCGCCGCTGCCGCCGTCGTCGTTGTCGCCGCTGCCGTCGCCGTCGCCATCGCCGTCGCCGCCGTCGCCGTCGCCGCCGCCGCCGCCGCCGCCGTCGCCGCTCCCGTCGCAGTGGCTGTCGTCGTGGCTGTCGTCCGGGGGGTGTCGGGTGGCCACGCGCTGCTTCTGAGGCTCCCACTGGGCCTCTCGAGATAACGCCAAGTGTACATAAACCCACACTGATGCTGGCCAGGCCAAACTTGGGCCCAGGATGGAGGCCCACGCACCTCCTGTCCACCACCGCGCACGCCTCGAAGGAGTGTGTATGTGTGTGTGGATTGCGCTCTTTTTTTTGGGGTTCACCTGCCCTCTCGTCACCCATCGTTTGCATTCCAGTGTTCGGCGTCTCGTTCACTGCTTTCGACTACGCTCGAAGTTCGCACTTCCATCTGCTGCCCGCGCCTGACCTTCGGCGCCGCTGACTTACAAAGTGTATGGGGATTGGCGGAGGGTTTGGGTTGGAGGAGCGGTGGTGGCGTGCGAGGGCGCGCGCGGGGGCGCCAGGCCAGACTTGGGCCCAGGGCTGTGGGAGCAAGTCTGCTCCTCAGTCCTTCACGTGGACTGAGATTCTGTAGGCATGGGCCCCAGCAAGTTTCCTCAAGCTCAGCTCTGGCTCTCCAGCGCCTGGAGAATCTGCTTTCCTCCTCCCCTCTCTTCTCCCCCCCCCTTCCAGGCATCCGGAGGCCCCCTGGCCACCACCGCTGCGCGCACAACCGGTGAGGACGGTCTCGAGCTGACTCCGGGAGGACCCAGGCCTGGACCTCAGAGGCCAAGCCGTGCCAGGCATCCACTCAGCCTTGCGATTGCGTTTTCTTCCTCTCTCTGATATGTTTGCTCTCGGTGCTCCCTCTGCCCTCTTCAGTCTCTCTGTTCTCGACACTCGGGGTGACCAGAAAGGGGGTCCAGCTGAAAGGGGGTGGTGCAATATATTTGGGGCAATCCTATTGCAAATGTATTGCGCTGGAGAATTGCATTGCGTTGTTTTGCAATTAGTGTATTGCACGCGACATTGCAGCACTACATCTGCGCCCCGAAATGTACTGCACGCCCCAAATGTATTCAGGAGGAAAAGAAGCACACAGACACAATTAATCCTCGATTCCCCAGAAAATATGGGAAAATATGGGAAGTGGGGGGGAAGACAGAAACCCAGAAAATATGGGAAAATATGTGGAATCTTTTTATTTGTGTGCATTTATTTGTGTGTCCCGGGGCCCCTTCATGTATTGCGACCCCACAAGTCGATTGCACCAAATCTATTGCACCACCCCCTTGTGGCTGGGCCCGCTTTCGGGTCAACCCGAGACACGATGGTTCTCCCCAGGAGGTAAAGAGCACAGCTCCCCCAGTTGCGTGGCTGGTTGGCTTGGCCCTTCGCCTTTGGCCCGACCATGCAGCTGGGAAAGTGTTGTTGTTAGGGTCCTGCGATATCCTGGGTTATCGCCAAGGGAGGAAAAACCACCCGGACCAGACAATTGGAGTTTACTAAACGGCCCTGGGCGTTTACTAAACAGCCCTGCCCTGTTCGATTCCTTCAGTAGGGGTGTTTAGTAAACTGCTTCGCGTGTCGGGGTGGTTATTCTGGGGGTGGGCTTTTTGCCGTCTACATCGGGCCCGCCCGCCACCCCGCACCTCCCCTCCGGATAACCTCACCTTGTTGGTTGCGCAGGTCCGAAGGGGGGCTGCCCTCAGCGGAAAGGTTAGATTAGCGGCTGGCACCTCCCCCTCCCGCCGCCCCACCGGATGACCCAGGTTATCGCCGAACAAATATGAGAACGATCTTTGGGAATCTTGAGCTGGCAGGACGTCGTCGTCCCTGCTCGCCGTCCTCCAGTTGCCGAGCCTTTTTGGCTTTTTGTTGGCTGCTGTGGACGTGGATCCCTGGAGACGGCACCGCGTCGGCGTTCGAGTCCTCCCGCGGGCGGTGGCGAGCGATGATCACCGTCAGACACGCGGGGAAGCACGTTTCAAGCTCCACTGTCTTCCCTCGTTTTTCCCTTCCTCCTCACTCGTTGGCCTGATTTACGGCTACGACCAGAAACCTTGCTCCCTCCTTTCTTCCCCCCCCGCGACCAAGGCGCGCATGATGCTACCGATTCTACCGATATCGCTGATATGATGACATTGCTGCTGCTGATGAGAATGGTGATGATTATGATTATGAGCATGAGTGTCAGTATGAGTACGAGTATGAATATGAGTATGAGTATGCGTACGGTGACGATGGCGATGATGATGATGGTGGTAATGAGGATGATGATGATGATGTTGATGATGATGATGATGATGATGATGATGCTGTTGCCGTTGTTGCTGATGATAATGATGATGTTGCTGCTGCTGCTGATGATGCTGATGATGATGATGATGATGCTGATGATGATGATGATGATGGGATGGCGGTGGTGATGGTGGTAGTTCCGGCAGTACTGCTAGCGATGGCAATCATGGCATTGGTGGCGATGATGGTGATGGTGATGATGACGACGGTGGTAATGATGGTGATCGTGACCATGACCATGATCATGCTTATACTGATGCTGATGATGCTGATGATGCTGCTGATGATTCTGATGATGTTGCTGCTGATGATGATTTGATGCTGCTGCTGCTGCTGATGATGATGATGATGATGATGATGATGGTGGTGGTGGTGGTGGTGGTGGTGATGATGATGATGATGCTGATGATGAGGAGGAGGAGAAGGAGGAGGAGGAGGAGGCTGCGGAGCAGGAGTTAGTTGATTTGTAGGTCGATGCTGAAGTTGAGGCTAGTGCACATAACACTCCCTGTGCCTATGACGATGATCCAACCAACTCGAGCAAACGCTGTTCATGTTCACCGACGACAGCCACGATGGTGCCGGCGGCGCTTACTACGGTGCTATTTGTGCTTGCATGTGCTTGTGAAGAAAATTCGAAACGAAGACGACGACGACACGTCGGCAGATACACCAGACATCTGGCGGCTCGATTTTTCGATTCACGGTTCTGTGGACCTCTCGACCCCTTCCCCGGGCCCGGCTTGTCACACCGTTCAGTTCCTGATGGCCCCGGGGTCCGAGACCAGTTTGCGGTGGGCTGGCACTGCGCAGAGATCTGGCACCGATCGTACGTGTGCACGTGTGCTCGGCGAGGACCGGCGAGAAGCGTTCTGGATCATCTTGCAGAAAGAGGCACGCCCGAAAGCAACACATGCACGGGGAAAAGACGTCCGAGCCATAGCGAGAAGAAGGGGAGGAGGAGGAGGAGGAGGAGGAGGAGGAGGAGGAGGAGGAGGAGGAGGAGGAGGAGGAGGAGGAGGAGGGACGAGGAGGAGGAGGAGGAGGCGGAGGAGGAGAGAGGAGGAGGAGGAGGCGGAGAGGGAGGGGAGGAGGCGGAGGAGGAGGCGGAGGGGAGGAGGAGGAGGCGGAGGAGGAGGCGGAGGCGGAGGCGGAGGCGGAAGAGGAGGAGGCGGAGGAGGAGGAGGAGGAGGCAGAGGAGGAGGAGGAGGAGGCGGATGATGAGGAGGAGGAGGAGGGAGAGGAGGAGGAGGAGGAGGAGGAGGAGGAGGAGGAGGAGGAGGAGGCGGAGGCGGAAGCGGAGGAGGAGGAGGAGGCGGATGAGGAGGAGGCGGAGGAGGCGGAGGAGGAGGCGGAGGAGGCGGAGGAGGAGGAGGAGCAGGAGGTTCAGGCCGTCTCGGTTTTTTGGAGACGCGGGGGCGCGGGCGGCGGCGGTCGCGGCGGCGGGGAGCGCGCACGGCGGGGCGGCGGGGGATCGGGCGGCGCGCCAGGCGCAGCGCTTCGGCACGCTGGAGAGGGCGTGGAGCGAGGGCCTGGACCCCGACCAATGCGGAGCGCATGCCACGCTCGATGCCCAGGCTTAAGTCGGGCCTGTCCCCCTACAGGGGGGGAATGTTCAAGAAGAGGCAGAAACATAGTCTGGGGCCTATTTCTTGAGCATCTTTAGGGGACCCCGACGGTCGGGGAGCGCGTGCCACTCTCGATGCCCAGGCCTCGATGATTTGTGGATTATGTCTGGAGTATGTTCTGGCTGTTTCTGATCTTTCGTCCAAGATCCGCCTGCAGGAGGACTTGCCCGACCTAACCGTTGCCCCTACCCCACCTTTTTCAGGCCTCCTAGGTGGGGTCGGAGTAGATGGGAGCGCATGCCACTCTTGATATCTAGACTTAAGTCGCGCCTGTCCCCCTACAGGGGGAACATTCAAAAGTAGTCAGAAAATAGTTTTGGGGCTATTTGTTGAGTATGCTTTTTTGCCGTTTTGGAATGCTTTTTGAATATGTTGCATTATTCGTCGAAAATCCCCCTCTAGGAGGACAGGCCCGACTTAAACCTAGGCCTCCTAGATGGGGTCGGGGTAGATGGGGTCGGAGGATCGCGCCGCATCGCCGATGCATCGCCGAAGCATCGGCGATGCGGCTCGATGTGCAACCCGATCTGCTTCACGTCGGCGTCGCCGATGCATCGCCAGCGTCGCCGGTGCATCGCCGGTGCATCGCCGATGCATCGCCGATGCATCGCCGATGTATCGACGATGCGGCGCGATGTTCCGACCCTATCTACTCCGACCCGATCTATGTGGCCTCTTATGATAGCGGAACGAAGAATAACATAAACATCAAAGCTCGGAGGTCCGCGCGGATTTCTCGGATCCGCGTTGGACGCCCCTGGCATCGCCTCCGGCGCGCGCCAGGGAGGGGGGTCCAGCGCCGATCCGAAAAATCCCCACGGAACTCAGA